CATCACCGCAGAGGAGCCAATCAGCTAGATGTTGCTGGGGCCGCTGTGAGCCAATCATCAGCTGGCAGCTGGAAGTTTGCTGGGGCCCCTTGGGCTGTGGCTCTCAACAAGGGAGGGCTGGCACAAAATCTTCAGCCAACCATTATTTTGCAAAGCAACAAGGAAAACCATCAAAGCACTCTGGAGGAAGCAGGTAACCTGTGGTCTAGGGAGTATTTTGTAGCCATTGAACTTATGTAGCAAGAGAATGACATGGGAAGTGGTATGTGATCATATTTAAAAAGGATATCAACTTACGTATACATTATAATTATTGGGGGGGGGACTAGAATATATTGGTAAAAATGGGAAAAACTGTAGACAGATTTTGCATAAGAATTTAATAAAAATAAATGGATTTAGATACTGCAAGCTATTTTAATGCTTACACTTATATTTAAATTATCTATTTCCAAATGGTACTCATTATTTATATTTTTGGAAAATTAATATATATATATATCAATCAAAGAAAATATTAATGTAACAGAAAGCAACATGATTAAAATTAGAAAAGTGATGAGGGTGCTCTTGTTGAATTTTAGTATATGACAACAAAAAAATTCATACCAGAACTTGTCTGAATTATTAAACAAAACAAATTCTAGATAAATAATAAATGATTACATTTTTAGAAAAATATTACTTTAAAAGTAAGAAATGTTTATGTTCTAACTCATAATATTGAATAATGCCTAAGGAACAAAACAAAAAATGCTACGTGCATTCATGTGAAAAATGAAGCGTGCACCTGTTAGATGAGGTCTTTCATGACAGCCGTACATTGCAGGCAATTTTCTTCTGTTTACAAAGCCCAGTGAAGAGGTAAGTGTATTGCAGGAATGCAGAAAAATATTTACTGATCAAATGAATGAAAGCATGGAGACTTTAATTGATAAAAATGTGTTTTAAATGATGATCTTTATAAAGAGAATATGTCACATGACTTACCAACCTAGACACTGCTGAGCGCTTGCCTATGTCCCATATGCACACTGTGACACGACTCTCCATTTAGGACCCCTGTTCACACTCTGCACTGTGACCTCACTGTGAGGCCACGCCCTCCACTCCCTGGCAGGTAGAACCACACTGGGGGGAGGCCTGGGTCTGTAAAGGCCTGGGTCTGCTGTGGTTGCGGGGTGGCCTTCAGCTCTGGGTGGTGGTTGGGAGGAGACCTTATACATCACCTGTGCTCTCCATGCCACAGCCCAGAGAAGTGTGCTGTGGAGGTGACTGGTCACTGGGGAGATTCAATTCCTCACCGAGCACAACAGCATGACCATGTCTGGGGTTCTGTCCTGGCTCCTTCAGAAAAATGAATATTTAGAAAGTGGGACTGAGGCTTAATATAATTTGAGTTGTTGTGCTGGAACTTAAAACCAAAGCCTCCCCCTGTAGGATTGAACCAGTGTTTGCAGGAAGTGTTCAACGCACCATGTTCTTGGCCCTCCAGAAGAATCCATTTACAACTCCATCGCAATTGTTCACCTCTGTCCACCACTTACATACTGGTTTCCCTTGCCTAGTGGCTGGCAGTCCTGTGTTTTCAGTCCTGATGTGAAACTGATGTGACCATGTCAATTTCTGGAGCTTTGACCATCAGCTTTTGCCAACAGCAGACTGATCACATACAGCTCTGCTGACTAGCTCTGCCCGAAACATGACTCTGCTTCCAGATTCCATGGTTTGTGTTTAATGATCCAAGTGCACCTCTAATCAGAACCCTCTCTCCCCTCTCTGTTCACTTGACTCTTAATTTTTCTTCTTGTACTATTCTTTTTGGAACTTTTTGGCATTATAGTGCTTTTGAAACAGGCCCCAGCAAAAGCAACTACACCCAAAGGTGCTTTTTAATTAAGAGCCTACAGAGAGTCAGAACTCCTTCTCTGAAAGCAGTCAGAATGATGTGGAGAAGCAGCCAGACCCACATGCAACAGCCTTGCTGTTGGTGCCCCTAAGACACTGCAGGATGGACGGGGTTAGTTCCCTACAGAGTGTCTGGCTGGAGTTAGAGGACGTGAACTAGGGACAAAGGGGGAGCTCTCGGGAGAACTCCACTGTTCACATTCCTCTTTGAGTAGCATGGGTCATCAGGTTTCTACTCTCTTTATGAAAACTTCCTGCCATGGACTTGTGTTCAGCCCTGGTTCTGAGGGCCCAGGTGCTCTCAGACATTGCCCACCCGCCATTTTGATTTCCATGGTGATAAGCAAACATGGTTAACAGGAGCTGAGCAGAGGCAGAAGTAAGAGTGACCCCTCCTTGGGTGTGGTGCTTTCTTGCACATTCTTTTTTTCTCTAAATAACAAGGATCAAGATTTCTTAGGAAAACTTCATTCCATTTATTCCTGTCCTCATTCAAAAAATGAGGGATGGAAGTGCAGAGAAACTGGGGTCTGTAAGGTACGCCTGGTGGATCTCATCCCATCTCTGCAGATCTAGGATGCATTGTGGTGTTTCTGCATTTGAAGAGGAGGGGAACAAGGCTCAGAGGACACGGGGGTTTGGTCAGAGATAGTGGGGCCACATGGGGACAGAGCTGATTCTCAGAATGGGTCTTCTGACTCTGTACCCACCAGGCTATCTGTTCTGTCCTCCTGAGTGTCTCTCGAGTGCCCTGATACCGAATTCCAACACATTTGTACCTTCCCACCCTTGTGGATACTCACGGAGTGTCCAGGAAGCAGGGCACACAGTCTGCTGCCTAGACCAGGTAAGACTACTTCCTGAATACTCAAATTCCCACTCTCTTTTCACTGTTTTATTTTTGTCATCTTTTCACAAAATGACACTCCCATATTGGTATAGGGATCACAGAAACTTGGCTGGTTTCAAAGGAATTGTCCTGTGGATAGGGAGTGGTGAGGCTGGGAAAGCCTTCTTGGGATGCTCCGCACACTCCCATCTGCCTGGGAGATGGGTGCCCTGACCTATCACACAGATGGACTGGGAGTTAAACGTGGTGCACGACTTGCTCAAGGGCAGAATTAATAAGTGGTAAAATATCGATTGGAACCCAGAGTTCTATGAATCTTTCTACCTTCTCTCTTCAGAGTGGACCAGGACCCACAGCTCTGGAAACACACGGAGGACTGTAAGAAATGAGGAACCCTGAAACAGAACCTGAGTTCCCACAAGATCCCCACCTTGTCTCAGTCACCCTAAGGTTGGGGAAGCTCTGCTCTGAAGTGTCACGGTGGCTTGAGCTCACTGTCTTTTCTGTGTCTGCTGAGAGCATTCCCTGGACATGACCTCAGTGTCTGACAAAATCTCCAAGAAGTCACAGGTCCCAGCAGATCACCTGAGCCACCTTGCTTCCTGTCCTTCTGATCAAGTCTGGGCACGTCCACAGCAGCACTCGGGGCAGGAAGCCAGGGGTCGGTTCCTCTGATGTGGGACGATGCCCCTGTGTCCAGCTGTGGATCTGTGAGACTGTCTGGACCTGTCCCGGCCACTGCCCTGTCAGAGTGGCTGTGCTGGACAGGGCAGGCTTGCCCAGCTGCTGCAAGGTTTTCCTCAAGAGACAGCAGGGTGGCCTTCTTGCCAAGCCGGGAAGCCATGGAAGAAACAGGAAGGTGAAATTCCCGAAAAGTGGAATTTTCACAAATATGAAATTTTAGGAAAGACCAACCAAGTTAATCAAAGCAGATGAAGACTAATTAATTAAAGCAGATGAAGACTAATTAGTCAAAGCAGATGAAGACTAATACACTTTTTATATAAAGAGCTCACACTACCCTGAAGGGAGACCACATAGCCTTGACACATGGCACAGGCTGGGAGCAGGTTACTTAGCAGCCAGCCTGGCCACCGCACTCACGTCCCCAGTAACCTGAGTGCTGCGTTCTTTATTAAGAACACGTTAGTACACATCACACACACACACACACACACACACACACACACACAAACACACGTGCACCATAAAAGTTCTACGCAGTAAAACAGACCCAGCCAGGCCCTGCGGTGAACCAGGACAAGTCAGCCTCTGTAAGAGAACTTGGGAAAACCTGTCAACTACCCAAGAAAACATAGCTACAATTCTAGCCATGACTTTCTCATAGGAAAGTGTCACACTATCTACGGTGGCTTCCATGTTTTGTAACATAATATGACATTCAAAATAGTTAATTTTTTTGTACTTTGTAATTTTTCTGGGCTTACATTTGGGAGACAAATGGTCACTTTCATAGTTTCTATGTTAGCCCTATCCAGCCGATAGGGGTTACGTAAAGTGCATTTATAAAGTGAAATTTTTTGAGTAAAAGGAAGAGGATATTATAGAATCGAGATGCTGTCTGGACATTAAAATAGACCACACGTGGGAAGGATGGGTCATGTTAATACATGGTCTTGCGTCCAGGGCAGAAAGAGAGGTTCCCTTAACATACCTTCCAAACCTGTGTAAGGTAGCTTGGCAACCTCGCAGTGGCTGCAGGACTGACCAGGGCTCCAGCAAATGCTGCACCACACGCTCCGTGCACCCTGTGGGGCCTGCAGTCAGCTCTCATGTGACAGGGACATGGTTCTGAGGAAAAGCGGGCCAAGACCTCCGTGCCTCACACTGGTCCCTCCAGCCTGCAGACAGATGTGTTGTACCAACAAGTGTGTGGCAAAAAGAGCACAGAACATCTGTTTCCCAGGGGTGGGAGGGGAAGGGAGGGGCAGGGGAGTAGCCAGGATGGTGGAATGTGACCAACATCATTATTCAAAGTACATGTGTGAAGACACGAATTGGGTGTCAACAGACCTTATATACAATCAGAGATATGAAAAGTTGTGGTATATATGTGTAATAGGAATAGTAATACAGTCCACTCTCATGTATTTAAAAAATAAAATTAATAAAAAAAATTAAAAAAGGAAGAAACACTAGCCTCTCTATCCCCTTTACTCTGAGCTATTTTTTCCTCCATAGAATATTTCAGCTCCTGGGTACCACACAATTTATTTATCTAATTTGTTAATCTTACACTGCTACAAGGTGAGATTTAGGAGGAAAGGCATGTTCTCCTTCCTTCACTAATGAGGGCACGTCCCCTGCTGTGAGTGTCTCACCAGAGAGACGGGAGTCAGCAAGCAGGCATCAGGTCACTTATCCCACTCCACCTCCTGCTGAAAAATAAAGCTGTAACCTCTCTTACTTTGCACCAAACTAGGCCACCTCAGTCCCTCCCCGGAGGCCCGTGGCGCGGCCTTGACTCAGTGCAGCCTGATGTCATTTCTACCCTTTCCCTGGCAGGTGTGAGCCTGACTCCTTCCCCACCTCTCCCTCTCCTCTGACTCCTCTGCACCTGCACCCACCCACCATCCATCTTGTCCACCACCAAGGCCGCTGTCCTTCGCCCTGACGGGCCAGCTCTGCTGCATCTCCTGGCGCTGACCACTACCCTGCCCCCAAACACTTGTCAGCTGCACAGACTTGAAGTAGTGGCTCACGCTAGCTGCTTTTTTTTTTTAATTTTTATTTTTTTTTATTGGTTGTTCACAACATTACAAAGCTCTTGACATCATATTTCATACATTAGATTGAAGTGGGTTATGAACTCCCAATTTTACCCCAAATGCAGATTGCAGAATCACGTCGGTTATACATCCACAATTTTACATAATGCCCAATTAGTAATTGTTGTATTCTGCTACCTTTCCTATCCCCTACTATCCTCCCTCCCCTCCCCTCCCCTCCCTTCTTCTCTCTCTACCCCATCTACTGTAATTCATTACTCTCCTTGTTTATTTTCCCATTCCCCTCACAACCTCTTATATGTAATTTTGTATAGCAATGAGGGTCTCCCTTCATTTCCATGCAATTTCCCTTTTCTCTCCCTTTCCCTCCCATCTCATGACTCTGTTAAATGTTAGTCTTTTCTTCCTGCTCTTCCTCCTTGCTCTGTTCATAGTTGATGCTAGCTGCTTTGAGGGGCAGTAAGGATGTTCTTTGGGAAAATCTGTGACAACAGGACAATTTTACCTTTCCACTCCAACAAGAATCTTGCAATCAGGATACACCAAAATAAAATAGAATGTTTAAAATAATATTTTCATGTGTTCCTTTAATGTTAACTAATGACTTATTCACCTTTTTATAATCTGTTAATATTCACTAAACAAAAAAAAAATGACAACAATTTAAGGGGAATTCACTGAAGAATTAGATGTGACTAACAAGAACGTCTGGCCGCAGTGAAGAGCAGCTTTTACTTTTTCATGAAATGAGTTTCAGAGTATTTACTCTCTGGTGTTGATGTCTGTGTCCCTCCAACATTCCCACACTGAACATCTGAGCCCTCCTGTGACGGCGGAAGGTGGGGTTGGAGGTCCAGCGGCTGGGCAGAGACCTGGGGCTGGGAGCCGCCTCCCCCTCCGCCATGCAAAGACAGGGCATGAGGACTCCACTGTGACCAGAACGCGGCCCCTGACACCGACCCTGCAGCACCTCGGTCCTGGACCCCCGGCTCTGGACCCACAAGCAGCACGTTCCTCGCTCACAAGCCGCTCAGGATGTGGTGACAGCAGCTGGGAGAACTGAGCTGTTGCAGACTCCAGTCCAAGAGCTCCTTCCATTCCTTTAACCTGTCAGTGAGGAGCAGAGGGCAGGGTCTGGGACGGAAGGAAGGAGTGGACCACGTGACAGCCACCTCCAGGGTGGGAGAGGCCCACAGCCCTCAGGTCATGCGCAGTTCAAAACCTTCTCTGGATGCAGCACAAATGCCCCTATTCAGGTCCTGTCCCTTCTTTTTGTGGGTAGAGAGACAAGGGAGTCCAGGCACTCTGTGTGGACCCTAATGCCCCACGGGTTTATTTGGGGGGGGATAACAATAGCCCAGTGAATGAGTGCTCTTGACCCCTGGTGTCACACTTAGCCTGCCCCTATCGTGGTCCCCAGATACCTGTAAATTCCCACGGCTTTGTTTCTGGAACTCGGAGGGAGCTCTGGCCTCGCCCCAGGCTGGGACCTGCCCCAGGCTGGGACCCTGTGCTTTTGTTCTGCAGCAGGCTTCTTGCCATCTGCTGAGTGTCCTATGAGCTGGTGCTCACAGGGAAGGTGACCTTCGTGGTGTCCTAGTAACCACAATCACTAGCTGTGGCATTTAAAACCTGAAAATAGATAGATTTAAAAAACAACCTTCAAAAGGACAGGTATCGAGAATCCACATATTCTAGCAAATGAAGCAAGGTTTCACGTGCCAGCCGATACCCTGTCACCGCTCTACATCAAGGATGGGCAGGGGTCCACCTCCCTTCCTGCCTTCCTCCTTCCAATACAACTTGCACTTTGAAAGCAGTTTAAATGTTCTCAGGAGAAATGAAGCATCTTCTGGGTCCATCCAAACTCTCTCGAAGGTGTTAGCCTCTAAAATTTTATCTATAAGATTTTAAACAAATCACATACAAATAAAACACTTAGTATTTACATATTTCTCCCAGGTATTTGTAGATCTCATTATATAAATCTGATTATAAATTAATGCAAATAAATTTTATGAAGAAATAAAACTCTTCCAAAAGTGCCCTTCTCAGTTCCTCCTTTCCCTAGGGTGTGATGTGGCCGGTTGAACCGTCTAGACTTAGGGACTGGGGTTGGGATGGGATGTGAAGAGGAGAGATCTCCTCTGAGTTACCAGGATTCTCTGTGGCAGGACAGGGGGGCCAGGGGACAGCAGGCAGTGAAGCTGGAAGCTAGGTCTGGCTTGAATGGTCTTCTGGGGATGGGCGCACAGTGGCCTTGGAAAGGACACAGTGATGGCGTTGTGAGTTATCCACACGTCCCACAGGTTTGAGGCAACACTTCCTTGGTTTCAGTAGAGGCTTCTGTCAGCTCAACAACTTGTGAATGAAACACGATTCCACCTGCCTCAAATATGTGCAAACCTGTCACCAAACAGAGACACTCCTCATTTCTTTCTGACAGCTGTACGTGCTCCTGGGAGCCAGGTGTGCTGGGGACCGCGGGAGAGGTGGGAGGTTGGCAAGAAAGGGGGGGGGATCTTTGGGGGTGGAGCCCGTTTCCCTCAGGGGTGGGGGACTTCAGAAGAGGAGAGCCTCAGGTTGGAAAGGCCAGAGAAGGCTTCTGTTCCCTGATCCGAGAGCTGGCCGGGACCCCAGGGCCTGGCTGGGTCATGTGGCTAGACAGGCAGCCCCACCCCAGCGTCGCAGAGCAGGCAGATGCAGAGTGGCTACTGGCTTCGTCAACATCGCTTCCTTATCTCTAAATTCCCTTAAAGATGCCGCAGACTGGAGGGAGAAGGGGCTTAGAACTGAATCCCGCTGGTTCTGACCCTGCCATTCTGCTCCTGCCCTGCAGCCTGCAGCAATTCCCAGGATCCCCTGCTCCGTCTCAACATGGAGGCGATTGGGGTTTGTGATTCTTTTTTTCTTTGATGCTGGGGACTGAACCCAGGGGCACTTTATCTCTGAGACACAATCCTACTCCTTTTAAATTTGATTTTGAGACAGACTCTCCCGAAGTTGCTAAGTTGCCCAGGCTGCTCTTGAACTTGCCAGCCCCTTTCCTGCCTTCCAGGTCTTGCTGGGTGGACAGGCACACACCACTGGGCCACAGTGTCTGTTTTGTTTTTCTTCTCATGGCATGAGAAGGAAGCTGTTTGTACTTTTCTGACTTCTCTTACACAACAGTGTGTGCATCTAAAATGTGTGTACACAAACCCATGTAATGTGTTTATTTTCTGCCTCAGGTTTGGAATCAGCCACACTTTTTAAAGGTGAATTCCAACACTTTCCAGCTGGTTTAGGTAGCTCTATCCCTAGCCCTTGTGGTGGTGTAAAGCCTGGACCTCGGAAAACGAGGCGATTTATAGTGCCAAGACAGGGCATTCCCAACAGAATAAATGAACATCTTGCTCAACAACCTCACCCACTGAGTGGCATACAGTAGGTGGGCCCTGTGGGAATTAAAAGCAAAGCAAGAAGGACACCTGGGTTATCAAGGATAAACTTACCGACTGGCTTGAATCAAGGAAATTGAGAACTCGGTAATGGTTATCACGGGAATGTGAAATAATGTACAGATTACACGTCCTCACAGCTTTCTCTTGGCTCTCAATTAATTACTTTATCCGTCCCAATGCACACAGAGCCAGGAAACCCGAGTCTGCTCAGGCCTTCCATTCCACCATCGCAACTCGGTAACACCGAAGCAGCCCCTTTATATTTTAGTTCTTAAATTAACCTTCAGTTTTTGACCAAATGTATTCGAATGTGCTTGCTTTCTAATATATAAGGGGTTAAGTCAGTATAGAAGTCACACAGAGAGCTGCATGTCCATCTTGCCACCAACCCACTCAATGGACAGCAGGGTTCCTAGGACACTTCAGCAGAAGGGTGAGCTGAGAACTGCTGCAGGCTCCTGCTGCACCCACGGTGTCCCCCAAGGTCAATGTGTCTCTTCAAACACCCAAGGAGCTATATTCTCTTTAATAAGACTATGGCTAATGTCATAAAATTGAGCCAAGTCTTTAAAAAAAAAAAACTCAACATATTAAATAGTCACAGAAAAAAAATTGATTTGCCTAAACTTCAGTGTTGAAGTGTTATAAGGAGAAGAGGATGAGACAAGAATCAACTTTTTGAAAGAACGATCTTTACCAGACATGGCAAA